ATTGAGACATAACAGTATATATTCATGGGGTGATAATTTGATACTTGGTTTATATACACAATGAAATATTTTTAAAAAAATTTTTTTTAGTTGTCAGTGGACTTTATTTTATTTATATGTAGTGCTGAGAATCGAACCCAGTACCTCACACATGCTAGGCAAACGTTCTACCCCTGAGCTATATCCCCAGCCCCACAATGGAATATTATTGTCATAATACAGATAAAATTCTGTCATTTTGTACAATACGAATGGAACTAGACAGCATTATATTGTATTAAATATATCAGACACAGAAAGTCAAATACTGCATGATCTCATTCATAGGTGGAAACCAAAAATGTTGATCTCATAGAAGTAGAAAGGAGAATTGGTGGTCACTAGGCTAAGAAGGGCAGCAGAGAGAAGGGATAAAGAAGCTTGGATAATGGATATCAAAATACAGTTTTATTATATATATATATATATATATATATATATATGATTCTATAAGACTAAATTCTTGTCTTCTGTAGCAAAACAAGGTGACTACAGTTCACAACAATTGATTATATAGTCTGCAAACAGAAAAATACCCATTTCTATTGTTATTATTGGTTATCATTTTCCCTACCCAAAGCATCCCTGATGCTCCCACCACCACCACCAAGTCTAGGAGCAATCTTTTCTGCCTTTGTAGTTTTGCCCACTTGAAATAGGCTGAATTTGATACTAGGATTCAGCCATCCAGCTGGATCTAAAAGTTCTCAAAATGCGTGGGGAGAAATCAAATACAGAAAAATTACTTCCAATTAACACCTCTAATCTCCAGATGTCTTAATAAAAATGGTGCACAGCAAATGGCCACCCTCAAGCCAGATACTTGGATTCAAGTGTTTTCAAGAGCCAAGCAAAGCAGTCAATGCTTTAATCTGATCTCCTGGCCTTGAACACATAAATGTTTAACTATACTATGGCTTGGGGAAGAAAGCAAGAAGGGGTGAACATATCCTCTAATGGCGGGTCTTCAACAGACCACTCATGTCACCGTGAAGTGTGAAGAGACACTCCTGCCTCCCAAGTCTGAGCACTGCCTGGAATTTATGAACTTCTTTGGAGTGTGATACGAATCTGGGGCCTTAAGCCAGGCATTATCATCAGGAAAACATAGGTAATTTTCTTTCTCCCTCCCCCCTCCTTTTCCTATTACTGACTGTACAGTTCTGAAGTAAATTATGATTTAATCCCCTCTGCTATTAAGACTGTTACAAAATGTTAGTTGCAATGAAGTCATAATTAAAAGAAAGATGGATAGTCAGATAATGTTATAGCAAATGACAAAACTCATTACTACCAGCAAAAGGAAGACCGGCATGGAAAAATACTTGCCTGTATACCAAATGGAATGCAGCTGACTAAAGACTATTTCTATATATAATCAACTTGGCATGTGCTTTTGCAATCATTCAGAGTTGAAGTGCATCATGGGAGAAATGATAGTTTCTGTCACGTGCTTCTGGATTTTTATCTTAGGGTCATCAAATCAGGGCCAGGTTACCACAAAGTACTCAATGATCCATGAGAAATGAATCATGTCTTCATTCCAGGGCTTAATATGTACATTACATCACTATTACAAGCAAGCAACTCTTTGGTTAATGGCTCCAACACAGATTAGGGTCAAAAGTGGCCTTAGACACCAAATTCCCTAGTGAGAGGTTGCCATACAACTCCGTATTTGCTTTGCTTCTGAATTCCTTCTTCTCCTAGCAACAACTAACCATCAGCTTTCCATGCTAGTATTGTGTCAACATGAGTTTTATTCTTCTTGCAAGCAAAGAGCTGGGAAAATAAAAGTGAGAATCTGTTATTACAGGTTCAACTGTGTTACACCCAACTTGTGGGGAGGGTATAGTTTCTTTTTATTATACTGCAATTTTGTTGTAATGACTCTTGCCTAAAATAAATGGGCAATTGACAGGACTTAAAGATAACAGGGCTGCTTAAGTGATTTTTACAGTAGCAGTATTTGTTGTAACAGAATTTGACATGTATTCTGGTTATTAGTTTTATTCATCACAATGAAAACTTGGCACTTCCATTGTTCATGCCATTATATGCAAAGCACTGTAGCATGAAAGTCACTTACAGATATGTGAAAACACACACACACACACACACACACACACACACAAAACCCTTAAATAAAAGAGACTTGTGGAACAATGCAACCTCAGGTAAAGGGACACATATTTTGTTTAGCTGAATGTTCTATATTGTTAAGGGCTTATTCCTTTCAATCCCTAACAAGTCTTATCATTTATGATATATTTCTAAAATATTCACCCTACAAATTATTGCCTTCTTCCAGGCAGAATTTAGTTTTCTTGGGTGTGATGCTTATGGTCATCATGTTGAATATAATCATATTGTCCTGATACAGTGAGACTCTCTGGGATTGAGCTGTGTATGGAGCTGCTTAAGTCTTCTCCACACAAACAGGATTTCTGAAGCCCTTTAGTCGCTTCTTCTTTCTTGACCCAAGTTTTTCTGGAAGTCTGTTTCTCTCCCTTAATCTGCTATAGGCTTAGAAACTTTCCAAACATTTTGAATTGTGTATGAAGTAAGAATAAGTTCTGAGCAGGTGCCTGATGTACAGAGGTATGGCCTTTCTCTTATGTGTTTGCTTTACAGCATTTACTTCAACTGGTCAGGAGCCTTGTTTGCTTACTTCCTACTTTTGGCTCATTTTGAGTGTTGAACTTCTGCTGATTTTTCCAACTCTGTGTCAAGTTCTCATCGTCAAACCACCTGTTTGCATTTTAGGCTCAGGAAGTATGGATTGGTAGAGTTGTCAAGATGGCTGAGCCCTAGGTAAATGGGTTGCTATTGAATCCTAAAATGGCATGAAGACTGTCATTTTCATAAGGCAAATTGAATGCTGTGGCCCTGATGGCCAAACTCAGTAGGTGAACTTCTAAATAGATAGCTTTTTTTTCCCACCTATCTTTTTCCAAGAATATGAAGCTGGCCTTATGTCAAGCTGTTGGAGACACCTTCAAGATGTTTAATTAAATTACAGACTCAGTGTCAGAGTTAGCTGACTTTTAAGATTCTAGCACCATAGCAAAAAAAGGCACAGTGTTGCCTCTCTTGGTAATTTCATTTATGGCCTTAGAAGAAAATTCAAGTCTAATAGTTCTCTCCTTCCAAAAGGAGTTCCAGGATAAAGGAGGATTTCACTGCTATCCTTAGTCCTCCTTCCTTCACTGTACTCTCACTGAGCAAGGCCTAGCAAAGGGCCAATTCATTTGCCCCCAGGCCATAATGCAGGGGTAGTACTGGGAACGGGTAAGACATATTTCTCAATACAAGATAGAACAAGTACAGTAAGGAATGAAGAGATTAAGGGCTAGACTTGGGTTGAAATCCTGGCTCCCCACTCATTAGGGTATAACCTGAGCAATAAAATGAGAGATGGTATTAGTGCTGTGAGATGTAATGTGAAAAGCAACTTGGAGAGCGCCTGGCTCAGACAAGGAGCTCACTAAATGGTAGCTATTATTATTAACAAAAATGTTTTAAAGCTGGAGACTGCAGTATTTAACAAAGTACAGATGCTCAGCGCAGCCAGTTAATGACTTTGAGAAATTTTTGTTGTTCCTGTTTCCTTTGCTGTAATATCTTTTCCATTATAGACCAGAAGCCTTTCTGTTGGGTGCATCTCACTCTGGTACCTTGGTAAAGACCAGGAGATATTCCAGCCAAGCTGCAATTTTACCCTTTTATGTGTGCAAAGGAAACAAGGTTCTGTGAAGTTGCACCAAGAAAACATCAATTAAAAAGATATTTTAAAGAGTTGTAGGTTTCTGAGGGAAAGATAATAAAACGAGAAGGGCTGGGGCAATAGGATATGATGTTGAAGTTCTGGCACCAGGAAGTAGGGAAGAAAACCTCCAGATACATTGTGGTTAATAAACTGAAGACTCTCAAGTGCTACAGTGCTTGGTAAGGCCATCCCACCAGGCACAAGTAGTATCCTCAGCAATTGGGGAGGAAGTAGGGCCTAATGATTGCTATAGGAGACAGAGTCTATAGTCCTGAGCTTCAGTAGCCTGGCTTATTAGGTGACCTAGAGTGGCTTATCTTCCTACCTTGGACAATTTCCCCAAAGTTCTCATAGTGTACAATTAAAAGGATCAGTGAAGATAAAATGACAGAAGGAAATTCAGAGCAGGTTTGGCAAACTGAACCCCAACCCCCACCCCCAACACATCTGCTAGTGAGTTTTAGGATTTTTAAACACTCCATTTTAATGTCTTTAGGCAGAGCTTATTTTTATTTTTTAATTCACATGGTTCTACTATTTCCGTCCTTCACATGTGGCCCCTGAAAGTCTCTGAGTATATGACTTATGGTTTTAATGCAATTTCTGCTCTATTAGGAGATTAAAATTATTTAAAACTTAATTCCATCTCTTCATCAATTATATGCAAATATGTACTTCTCAAGTTCCACAAAGATGATTTTGCTGGCTGAGCTTTAATACATACATACATATATATATATATATATATATATATATATATACATACATATATATATATGTATATATATATATATATACACACACACACACACACACACATATTTACAAAATGGGGTAAGAATTAAAATTGGACTTTCTTCCTAATTAATACAAATTATAAAGCTTCAAATGTTATTTAAAACATCATTCAGGACCAAGTATTCTTTGTTATAATATACTTTGCTTGTAAAATTAACCTAGACATTCATTTTACTCAGAGGAGAAAACATGTCTCTAAATAACCATCTTTAGTCTGCCCTTTTGCCACTTCCCAGGGATCTCCTAAGACACTCTGGGGAAAGTCAGGAGTAAATTAGCCCCCCACATCTAATAACCCAAACACCATCTTCTCTAGCAGTACCAGTTAGATATGTAAATCTCCATGAATATTTACACCTAGCAGGGTCCTTTGTGCACAACTCCGAGAGACAAATGGTATTTCCAGTAATAGTTTATTGATTTCCAAATGCACAGGGGCGCCGAGTCTGAACATCCTGGGATAGCAGTAAATCTCTCTTACAAAATAATTTACAGTATGAAAATGATATACTGAAACATTAACTCAAATGTGTAATTCCCTTGAAAGACTGAGTGTTCCCTTATTTAGTGGAAGGGTGGAAGGGGAAGAAGAGATGTGACTGCACAGGAAAACAGGCAGAGTACAACAACGGGTTTGTTGGTTCTACTCACTCATGCAGTGTGGCCTGTCACTGTAAAAAAAGACTAGTCAGGTTTTACTCCCATCAAGTATAAATGTGCTGTCCCCTCATGGTCGTATCAAACCCAGCATGGGTTCTGTGGCCTTTTTTGTACCAGTGTACCTCCAGTGTCTTCATTTATTTTTATTTCCTGCTCTGTCCCTTCCTTGTTTTGGTGTGCTCAGTATTCCACACGAACCTGTCTTACCTGGCAGGTCCCCAATATTCCACATTGTACTATTGTCCCTCCCAGGAACTGCCTGGGTCTTATGGCTCTAGGAATGGGTTAGTTGGAGGTGGGGGTGGGGGTGCAGGTTAAAGAAACACTGCTAGGCAAAGAAAATATGAGACCTGGAGTCTCCTGTGTGAGACTTCTTTTTCTCTTAGGACTGGGGTGGACTTGATCCATAATGAGATTTTCAACTAAAAAGCATGTGTTGAACAGCCATTATATGAGGGCAGACTTGCAGGAATCAGGAGGAGGATATTTTCTACGTCGGGGGAAAGGACTTCCTAGGCTCTGCCACTACAACAAGGTTGTGAATTCTGCAATTGAGCCCGCAGGCCCCAGTAGAGTGACCAAAATGGCTTGGGTCACCAAATGGTCAGGCACACAAACACAATTATGGAGGAGAGCTGGAGTGAAATTTCCTTCAGGACTGTCACCTTGGCTCAGTGCTTTAGGAGCTGAAAACCTCCACCAGGGAGTTACTCTTCTTGGAAATGAACGTGTAAACTCCAATCATCTGGTGGGACTTGTAATCAGGCGGGAATAAGGTAGCGTGCAAAACAGTGAAGGGCTCCTTAGAGCTTCCCTTCATTCTTAAATTGTGTGTGCGTGTACATATATACACATAACATTTATCATTTAGATATCCACCCCCCCGCCCCAGGTATCAATAAGACAGTCTAGATTTACTGTGACTTTGAATTGGTTCACCTAATAAAGCACAGGAAGAGAGATTACCTTTACTAAAATACAAAGATTTCCTTTTCTGCAGGAATAAAGTAGTAGATGCTTTTAAATAAAGTTAGAGGAGAGAGCAGAACACCCATCACTTTTTCTATTTTGAAAAACACCTTATTTATGGGAAATGGCACTAAAAAGGAAAGGCTCCCTCAGGAGCAAGGGGCAGGCCCAAGTTAGCAATATGTACTTAAAGCGTCTGCTAAAGCAGAGGAATAAAGCAACTTTAATGTCATTTCTGAGCCCAAACTATAGCCATGAAGTGTCTTTTTGAGAAAAATTCAAATTAATGGTCAGAGTACAGCAAGAGAACCAGAAATCTTGACTCCCTCTGTATTTGTAGGTGTCCCGTGGGATGGGACAAAGGAATTTCTGGAAAGGCTGGAGAGCTGGATTCAAAACTGGCTCCAATATTTCCTAGCTGTGCAACATGAGACAATGACTTCCTGTTTTATCATCTAAGAATGAAGGTGTAGTAAGTACAAGGCCTGGCTCATAGTAAATCCCTAATATAGGCTACTCTCCGGAATTCCTGGGCAATAACCTGAGAGTTCAAGCACTTCTTAGGATTGTCCTGGATTTAATGATACCAAATCAAAGGACAAATCCCTCTCTGCATCCAGAAACCCAACATTTGGAAGGCAGCCAGGAACTGCTGTGAGTACCTGATTCATTCTGGAGACATCCGTTATCTGCATCCCTTGATGACTTCTCCCCAAAGATTTCTGCCTGCAACCAGTTAGGACACAATTCTGAGCACTCTCATTTCTACTGACCTGGTGGGAGGGAAGTCTCAGAATGCTGGGGCTTAAGGCCAAGCAGCATGCTCCAGCTCTGGGGGGAAGCTGGTGCCACTGCAGGAAGCATCCTAGTTTGTACATTGATAAACGCTGCCAGCAGGAACTTAGGAGCCTGGGCAGAAGCTGCTGCGCTGTTTAATGCTTCCCTGGTTAAAGTTTTATCAGGTGCTGAAGACAGCAGGAGCCCATAAAGCAAATCTGAGACCCTTTCTAAGTAAAAGCAAAAGTGCTTTCCTTGAGGATTACAGACACGATAATTTATTGAGACAAGTTGGCACATATTCCTACAATTCTGTTGGTATCTACTGCATAAATGTTTGGATTTTCCAATACTGACTTAAAGTAATAACATATGATCAGGTATGGAGAGCCAATGATGTTTCCACTGCTAATACCATTTGAAGATCAAACAATTTCCATTGCTAATACCATTTGAAGATCAAACAATGATTATTGGGGAAAGACAATACAAGTTTCCAAATCCTAGTCTTTTAAATCTTCTGATATTTTAAACTCTTTCAAGAGTGGCCATTGGTCCATCTTTTAGGTTGATTTTGTGGATATGGTTGGAGGTTGTTAACTAGCAGTATACTGAATTCTCCAGTCTTTACAGACAGATAAATGAAGCACCAAAATTATCTTAGCTACTTGTTGGACACCAGTTTGAGGTTTTTTTTTTTTTTTGGGTGAAAAACAGCTCAAACTCCTCCCAGTCCCAGTCTCCTTGCATATGCAGTGAGCTAGGATAACCCTAACTAGCAGCATATATGCTTGGTAGCTTCCTGGTCTCAAAGGAATTAAGTCATTTCATCACATGCACAGTGTTGAACAATGACATAAATACAAATGATATAAACAGGACTCCTACTATAAGCAAGTTGTGTTTCTGCCTCAAAACTATCCTGCACACACACTCAGCAGCTGGCCCCAAAGCTATCACACAGGTCACAGGCAGGCAAGCAGACAGGCAGGAATAAAGGGCTTTCCCTAAAGGCAGGCTCCTTGGCTCTGCCTCAGGGGTATTAGAAGTTTAGGACCTTGGGCAGGAACAATCCCAAGGGGCTTGGATATAGTTCCAATTGTGTTCCTCAGAAGTGAGCATGGAAACACCACTAAAGGCAGAGGGAGGGAACACACAGCCCATTTGCAAACAAGAATTATCTTCCAAGTCTCTCATTTTATCTTAACAGTTTATGTGTATGAACATTCTATTCCATAATATAACTGTCTTTGTTTTATATAAAAATAAGGTTATCCCCTGACTTCAAACCATTTGTTAAGGAAAACTGACATCTCGGGAAGAAAGCGTGCTTTTGAGCTTACAATTTTATATTTCACTAGCACATCACTGCTTCCCAGGGGGTATAATGCTATAAGAAATTGTGATTTGGAAATGGAGAAAGGCCAGGAAATCTAAGCTCCAGGGTATCTCTGCTCATGTTACTGAAGAGGAGAGAGCCAGGGTGCAAGAGATGACCTGAAGGTCTGTGGGTAGGGAGTGCCACGGGAAGGATTCCAATTAATGTAAAATAAAGGGATATTTGCTGGGAGATGGAACTGAATTCAGCAAGCTATAGAGTAGCAAGAATTCTCCCCATACTGCAATTAAGCCATATTAAACTAACCTGGCAGAGGGAACGGCAAAAATCTACACTGAAAGTTCCCATTTGGCAATACACATTTCCAGCCTTTCGTGTTGTGATAAGCCCATAAAACCTGCAGAACTCATCTAAACAATCCAGGTTTTATCAGAGTCTTTAGTGACTATTTTGGAAACTCAGGCAAGTTAAATTCAGAAATATTGATTTCAAATTTTAATCAGATTTCTTTGGTCCTCTTTTCTGTGTCCCACCCCCAGGTCATTTCCTTTCCACCTCTTCAATCATCTTTTTCATTTCCATAGCACTGAATTATGAATCTGAAGTCCTGGATAACCTCATATGCTAAAAATATCTGTGTCTTTCTAGCTTTTAACTCTTTCTCCAACCTCATTTTCAGGCCATCCATCCTAATTCACGGCACCACATTTCACAAAGGTAGAACTGGACTATTTAGAGACTGTGGACATGAGTCAATAAGGCCCCACTTTGTCCTCATGTGTTTCATGCTTCAGTATGAACAAAGTAGGTTTTTTGTTTGTAGGTAGGCAAAAAGCTCTGACTTCCTTTCATGATTAGTCCAGGTCCTTCCTAATGAAGTATACTGTTGACTTACACAATATTATAGGGGCTAGCTTTCCTGAGTCAGTTCAAAGCAGCCATTAAGGAGTTCCCTGAAAGACCCTTTTCAATTGCTCCTGGTTGATCAAAAGGGCTCTTTCCTTGACCTACTGCAACAAGAGAATGAGAAGTACATGGTAAGCATAAAACTGGTCATTCCTTGGAGAGATATGTGCCTGCTATGGATCTGGGGACATATCCAGTGGAAGTACATTTGTTGCTGGGCAGCCTTCACAGAAATCAGAAGCCATTACACACACGCTGTCACACACATACAAGGGAAGGGGTGATTTTCCACTCTGATGGCAAGCCTTCATGTGTCCTCTTCTTCACTGGCACCACTACAAAGGAAAAGGAGAAGCAGGTGAGTTAAGCCATCACAGGAAGGGAGTAACACAGTCTATTGGTTGATGGCACCAGCTTTGTTGTCAGACATACCTGGATTCGAGTTCTAACTACCATGACTGAGCAGTGTGGCCATATATGGGCAAGTGACTTGATTTCTTTGAATTCTGATTTCTGTATCTGACTACTGGGAGAATGATGATAACAAAACTTACTTTTTGGGTGACTAGAGAATTGAGAGAATACATATAAAATGCAAAAATGCACAGTGCCTATATACAGTTCATGAATAGCTATAAAAAGGAGAAGGGGAGGATCATAATCCTTGTAAACTTAATTGACAAAATAAAGTGATGGTGAAAATTAGGAGTTTGATTTCTTCAAAGGCTTAAATCACCTGTTGTTAGGAGAACAAGGAGAAGCTATCAATGGCATTCTGCACTTGGAATAAAATGCAGTGTTTCAATTCCTGCCACAGGTCAGTCCCTGGGTTTAAATATCGTCTCTTCAGAGAAGGCACTCTACTGAAATAGGATTCCCTGGTTATTCTCTATCTTATTTCTTTCACAGCCCTCACCACATTTTATACTTTATTTGTTATTTACTCTCTCTCTGCCCTACTAGAGCATGTAAGAGTAGTTAATATTTTATCAACTACTGTACATCCAGAAGTAGTACCATTTAAAGCACAGAGACGTGCTTAACAAACAAACTGCTTTTTAAAAAGGGAGTGAAATACAACAGGAAGAAAAGGAAGGAAGGACAGAGTTGGAAGGAATGGCTAGTCATTAATGCCCTAACCAGAGTATTCCAGATGTCTGTGATGTTTCTAGCAGCCAAAAAGTGAGTTGTAGAGTCCCAGAGGCATGGCTAGTACCTCAGCTGCTCAGTCAGAACATTTCTGGTCTGATCCTGACAAAGAGCACTGTCTAAACAGGGATAGGGTCAAGGAGAAGGCAGGGACAATGGAAACAAGATGGCAGGGATGCTCACCCGTAGAAGGGAAAAAGTAGCAAACTTGCCTAGAATCTCCTCATTCACTTCTAGAGTTACCGTGTCTTTAAAATACTAACAAAATCCAACCTGATTTAGTGCTTACTGTGGGCCAGGAATCTGAGCTTAGTGTTCTTCATCCATTTTTCCTATCCCTCCTCACACCAATCCTAAGATACAGGACTACTATTATCCCCATGAACCAGATGAGGAAAGTAAAGCTCTTAGAGATATAAAAATCCTATGGTTACACAGAAACGTTTGTGTCCTTAAAGCTTAAGGTTTACTTTTGGCCAGAGAAACGCTCAAGCAGTCAAGCTGGTAGACAAAGTTCCACGGTGCATCAGTTTCTTGCTATGACCTAAAAATTTTGCTTCTCACAAGATATTATCAATATCTACACAAAATCTGTGTCGTGTGTCTATCTGGGAAAGGCTTTAGGGGAAAATACCCTAGGCAACAGACTTCTAATACTTCCATTAAAGGTGAAAATATTTAAGACACGGGGCCTACAAATTACGTTACATACACACTGAAGTCCAAAAGAACCAACTAAGTCAACTTCCCTATCCAAACCTCTGCCCTAGTTCCACTTTGTTTTCTTGCTGGTTGTCCAATCATGGGATGGAGGATGCCAGTGAGCTGTCATTATATCAATATTTGATGACATCTGTTCTGATGGGAACAAAGGGTCTTTTATGAAAATTTCTCACAAGAATCAAGACATAGTTGAAACCAGCACTATATTCTCCCCCTTGGCATTATATTCAAAGCAAGCTCTTAATGTTACCTTGTCAGTTTTACTTCATACAAGAGGCTCAGCATGATGACGGTGCTCTTTCCATAGGTTGAAGTTCACTTTTTAGAATTCCTGAGATACATATTTTAAAGGGTTCATGAACCCACTGAAATTGTATACAGTGTTTTGTCTGTGTGTTCCTTTGTCTAAGAAAGGCCATAATTTTCATAATAGCCTCAAAGAGGTCCAAAACTACAAATCAGGAATATCAAATTATACATAAATTCTTTTCCAGTTGTCAAATTTTTTACTATCAGACTTGGAGAAAAGCATAGGGAAGAGGTGAGAAGTCTTGACTGATTGAAATTGTTTCTCATTACCCTAAAAGAGACTGTTCCTGCATCTGAAAGATAAAATTTATCTCACATTTTAAAACATAAGTCCTTGGGACTCTGTCAAATCATTTACTGTATTCTTGTCAATTACTAAATATTACTTGAGTATCAACCATGTGTTAGGCATAATTCTAGGCACAAAAGACTATGATGAACACAATACATGCCCTTACAGACTTTTACAGCTTAGTAGGTGAGACAAAAGGGTGTGGTGGTCATACTTTTTTTTTCTTTAAAACAGCATTTTCAAAAGATAAGTATCTTATTTGCATTATTAATAACCCATTTTTCACAATAACAACATATCATTGGTATGAGGCAGCATTTCCTCTCTGAAATACTCCTCCTTTACCTAGTATGCAAGCAAGTTTATGCTTGTAAGATTTTATCTGAAATAGTCTATAAAAGTCTTGAATATCCAGGTGAAGGAACACAGCCTTCCACTTAGGTATTCATTTCCCCTTTGAAAACATCTAAGAGCCAACACTTAGGATTTCTGCCTTGAGTGGCATTCAAGAGGTTATTGAGATTATTTTTTTTAATATTTATTTTTTGGTTGTAACTGGACACAATATCTTTATTTTATTTATTTATTTTTATGTGGTGCTGAGGATCGAACCCAGGGCCTCTCACGTGCTAGGTGAGTGCTCTACTGCTGAGCCACAATCCCAGCCCCTATTGAGATTCTTTTCAGTGCCTATTAATGCATTTGTGTGTGTGTGTGTGTGTGTATACGCCCGCGCGTGGGGGGGGGGCAGGCGGTACTGGGGATTGAACTCAGGGGCACTCAACACCTGCGAGCCACATCTCCAGCCACATTTTGTATTTTATTTAGAGACAGGGCCTCACTGAGTTGCTTAGCACCTCGTTTTTGCTGAGGGTGGCTTTGAACTCACAATCCTCCTGCCTCAGCCTCCTGAGCTACTGGGATTACAGACATGCACTACTGCACCTGGCTTGCCAATTTATTTTTAAGAAGACTCACAGATGTGGGATTGCTGTGTCAGAAGAATAGGCATAAAGCATTTATTTTTAATAAAATAGGATGTTAGGCAGATAGCATTCTATAAAGGTACTGGGGGGAGGTTCATTATATAATGGCTTTGGGATCACCAGACCAAACTAGATTGAAATCCATGTGTGAATTACTAGCCCTCTCAGAATCTCATTTTCCTCATGGTAACATTATTTAGCTTACAGTTTTGTTATAAAAGCTTTATGGAATTTCACAATACAAATGATAAAAAGTATTGACCTCCTTCCTTATGCTGAATTAAAAACTGCCTCCTCCTAACTTTCAATGTTTCTCATTCTGGCACCTGAAACATTACATTTCAAAATAATCATGTTCCTATCCCCAAATTCCCTTCAAATATTTAGAGACAAACAGTATCCTGTGTGGCTTGCTGGAAGCTTTCTTAATGACAACTCCAGACCTACTAAAATATAGGTACTGGACAGAAAGACTGAGTTCTATAGTGCTGATCCTTCTATGTGACAGTTCTCTAGAAAATTCTACCTCTGTGAAATGTTGATGAGGACAATTAACTGAGTGAAGTTTAGTTAACTTGTTCAGTCACTGACTGATCTAGTTTGGGGGTACTGTTGTATCTCAGAGTGGTGGTCTTAAAAGTGTAGCACACATACCTCTGGGGTACATAATGACTGTCCAAGGGGTGTCTGAATATGAGCAGTTCTAAGGAAACAAATGTGCAAATCCTTAACTTGTATATATAGTCTTTCCTAAAACCGCTGTTCCTAAGAACATATGTGCCTGTGGTCTATAAGTTCTTTTTTATCCACTCCCACTTTCAAAATCACCTTACTCCCACGTCAGAAAAAAAATGCACATTTCTCACTTTCCTGAAACCTACATGCAACAATTTTGCATGCCACTTCTACAAGGAGTCTAGGAGAGGAAACAATCTCTGATTTTACCCAGGCATATACTCTTTGGCATGGTTATACAACTTTCCTCTGTCTAGACACTGATCCAAGAACGTAAATTCAAAACTGAGATGGCAGTCATGAGTTGTGCACTGACATTTTATTCAAACTGAAAAAATAAAATCAGCTTGATATGACAGAAAGCAAGTCTGATTTTGCTAGATGGCTTGACTGTAAGAACTGGCTTTTCCAATTAAATTCTATAGTGAACCTTGTCTGTAAATTTAATAGGCTAAGGCCAAAGTGTCAAAGTTTTGACAAAAAGAGACATAAAAGTTTGTGTAAACTAAACAATATGTCAGCAGCCATATCTTTTGAAACTATCTAAACTTGATATATTTATATTTTTCAGGAGTTAACTTCAAATGGGCAAGGAGGCATATATTTTCCTAAATTCTTCTACAGAATAGAAAAATAAAAATTTTAGCTAAAGGAACTGGAAGTTCCTAAATTGGGAGGGTGATGTTAAACTTTATACCTCCCTAGTTGGGAATATAGTTTAGGGTGACAAAAATGGGATTAAGGAGTCCAGCCAGAAGAAGATTGTGTCCCCTATCTGAGTTAGGCACACACTGAGGAATCCTATCTGTTGTGCTGTGGTGCCTACAAAACTGAAGAGTTGTCAAAGGCATACCACAAGCCCTAGTCTCACTAAACCCTCCATACCTGCTGATAAAGTGATTATGATAGACAAGGTTTCACTGCCTGACAATTTTTTAGTTAGTCCATGCAGGTAGGCAGCTCAGCTTTTCAGTTCTGTCCTTAGAGTTTATACTCTAGCTAGGAGTGTAAGAAGAACAGGCATTCTAAATTTCTGAGTTTAATAGTCTCTTTTTGTAAGCATATAATACAACTTAATTTGATTTGGCATCAGTCATGTTTGCAGAATTCTTGGTATTTATTAATTATTGCTGTAAAAGGA